AAGTGGAAGACAGAGGAAGGGGAAGGGGAAGGGGTTGAGGTTGGGGTTGGGGTTGGGGTTAGGGTTAGGGTTGGAAGACGGCTGCAAACTTGGTGGACCCTGAAGGCCCTCTACCCACCCTCCTCTCCCAGGGCACTGAAACCAGAGGCCAAAGCTGTGGAGGACGGAGTTGTGATGTGCTCAGGCCCTGAGGAAGGAGAGGAGGTAGGCCAGGGGAAAGCACGGGGCGGGAATGGTCCTGCGGTGACGGGAGGGCGAAGGGACAAGCCGACCTTCCTTCCCTGGTTGTTTTCCGGTCCCAAGGCTGAAGACACGGCCTCGCCCGCCCAGTGCCAGCTCTGGGCCCTGAGCGGTGACTGTCGAGGACTCCCCCAGGCAGCCATGCTGACTCCTCCCCAGGAAGCCGAGCTGGACATCCCTGGCGTGGACACCCATGGGCCTGGTACTCGAGCCAACCCGGGCCAGGAGAATTCCTTGACCCTTAGAATCAGAAAATCCTTTTGCTATCAGCCCTGAAGAAGCAAATGTTAGAATGAGTGCCTTACAACAGAGTGGCCCCGCGACAGGAGAATCAGTGCCCTTGGGGAAATGGGTAGAGACACAAATTCTTGGGCTCCAGAGCTCCTGGTTCAGATAGTCAAGCTATTGGGGAATGTGTTTGAACAAGCCCTCCAGGTGAGTGTACTCCAGACTCCGGTTTGAGAACCACTGCCCTAGAATGGGAGAGCATTAGGCCTGCTGGCTGGCTCCTTGCACAGAGGAGGAAACTGGAGCCTGGAGAAAAGTACAAGTCGCTTGACTTAAGCTACACAAAATCAAGAGCCAGAGCTGGGCCTCCTGACACCTCAGGGCTGTGATTCCCGAGCCTCCAGACCCTTTGATCGACGTTTCCCATTCCTTTTCTCCCACCCAGAGGGGGTGACACCCCTGATGGCAGCAGTCTGCTGTGGGGCAGTGGAGTACAGGACTTTCCTGGAAAGCCCCGAGCCCTGGGAACCTCTGTTAGATGGAGGGGCCTGTCCCCAGGCTCACACCGCGGGCACGGGGGAGACGCCCCTGCACCTGGCTGCCCGATTCTCCCGACCGACTGCTGCCCGCCGCCTCCTTGAGTCTGGAGCCAACCCCAACCAGCCAGACAGAGCGGGGCGCACCCCTCTTCACACCGCTGTGGCTGCTGATGCCCGGGAGGTCTGCCAGGTCAGTGCACACCCGGGTCCCTGAGAGAGCAGGGAGCAAATGAGCAAGTACAGCTGGGCAAAAGCCTCCTCTAGGGTTTGGCAAAGAGGAAGGTGATGTGAGGGGCCTGAGAGGGGAAAGAGCAGGTGGCTGAGCATGGATCGGGAGGTGGGTAGTGTGAGGGCCTGAGCTGCCGCCCAGGACATACCAGGGTGGCCGGCCCTCTCTGGCCCCCAGCTCCTACTCCGCCACAGACAGACGGCAGTGGATGCCAGGACAGTGGACGGGACCACGGCCCTGATGCTGGCCGCCAAGCTGGCAGTGGAGGACCTGGTTGAAGAACTGATTGCAGCCCAAGCAGATGTGGGGGCCAGAGATAAATGGGGTATGGATCTGGGCGTGTTGATGTCACAGAGAAGTTGAGCAGTGGGGAAGTGAGGTAAAAAGTAGTGGGGGGATGCAGCAGAGGAACTGGGGGCGGGGGTTCCCTGGCAGCCTCTCGGAGTGCACGTCCGCGGGCGTTGGCTGGAAGGAGCACCGGCCTCTCCCATCCTCAACGCGCACGCCCCCGCCCACTGTGCACCAGGATGGGAGGGTGCGGGGGGAGGGGGGAGGCCTCCCGGTCCCACCTACCCCAGACAA